TTTTATGAAAAGATGGCTCAGCAGGTATAGCAGCTTCCCCCCAACCCTGACAATCTGAGTTTGATCGCTGGAACCCATATGGTAGAAGGAGAGAACCGACTCCCACAGATTGTCTTCTGATACTCACACTCGTGAGCATCCAAGCATGTGCACACACACATGCAATCGCAGATGCATTTCCACACACAAAGTAAATGAAAAAAAAAAAAGAATGGTTCTTGTGTACATTAGAAATGATACTGAATATATTAGTTCAGGGGGCGGCAAGATGGTTCAGCGATTAAGAGCACAGACTCCTATTCCAAAGGACCCATGTTCAATTCCCAGCACTCAAATGGTGGCTTACAAACATCTGTAACTCTAATTCCAGGAGATCCAAAGCCCTCTTCTGACCTCTTCAGGCACTACACACACCTGGTACACAGACATATATACAGGCAAAACACTTATGCACATAATATACAATAAAAACATATATGAATATCAGATCATTAGGGCTGGTGAGAGGGCTCAGTGGTTTAGAGCACTTACTGGTAAGTACTTATAAAGCACTTTCTTTATAAGGGGCAGACAAAAACAATTTTGGGACTAGTAAAATGGCTCAGGAGGTGTAAAGATGCTTGCCACCAGGCCTGACAACCTGAGTTCAATCCCTGGAACCCAAATGGTAGACAATCAATTCCCATAAGCTGTCCTTTAAAAAGCCTCCAAAGTACACACACACACACACACACACACACACACACACACACACACACTCACTCAACAGAAGCAATTCTCCACACAGAATTCTATTTTGGAGTGTGCTAACATTCAGCTTAAACTACCTGGAATGATGTAGACGTGGATTCCATATTCAACACTGAACTAAGAGACACAGTGAAATAATGGACAAATGGACTCTCAGTGGGACTTAAGTGTGTGTGAGCCTGGTGTGTTCATGTGTGAATGCACATATATGCATATGTGGGTGGAGGCCTCTCTTTCCTGGATTGTTCCACACCTCTTCACTAAATCTTTGACTTTAATTTCTTAGCTGCTGTGAGTAAAGACTTGTGACAAGCTAACAGGTGCACGCACCTAAGGTCTCTTTCTCTCTTGACACACTAAAGCTAAAGAAATAAGATACTGGCATATAAAATGTTGCAATCATGAGGTCCTGAAGCTCCTCTCATCTGACCCCTATGTGATGGTGACAATTTAGCAGTAACAAGATCCATTTAGAGCCAAGAAGCAAGTAAGGAAGGATTCCTGCTGGGCCTCACAAAAACACCCCAAGGGACTCCTAGACTGATATGTCCCTAAATGAACTGGTAGTAGAAGGAAGTAACCAGAGACAGGAACTCAACCAGAGGGTTCTAACAATGCCAGGCAGTAAAGGGCACTTCAAAGGGATGCCTTTCCCCATCACCAGCTATGGCTACACAGGATTCTAGGAAACAAGAAAAATATAAAACCACCTTCCAAAACTTCCACATCTCTACTCCATCTTCAACAATGGAAAAACTACAACACTTTTTCATACTAAAAGAGCCTGATGCTTACTCTGCTTTTGCCCCCCCCCTCCCCGCCTCAGATAGAGTCTCACTATGTAGCTCTGGCTGTCCTGGAACTCGCTCTGTAGACCAGGCTGGCCTTGAACCCACAGAGATCCGACCACCTCTACCTCCTGAGTGCTGGGATTAAAGATGTACACCACTATGCTCACCTAACGCTTATTCTTCTGATGATGCCTTACACAGTGGAGGTCAAAGTGATTTAAGTCATTTCCTTTTTGGTTTATATACACAACTGGTATATAAGGAACATATAAAACTGAATAATCAGTTTCAGCAGGCTTAAAATTTGAACTCCATAAATATATATAACATGTCTGTTTAAGGAAACATCTTTCGGGCTGGAGAGATGGTCAAGAGGTAAAGAGCACTGTCTGCTCTTCCAAAGGTACTGGGTTCAAATTCCCAGCAACCACACGTGGCTCACAACCATCTGTAATGGAATCTGGTGCCCTCTTCTGGCCTGCAGGCATACATGCAGGCAGAACACTATACACAATAAAATAAATCTTTAAAGAAAAACACATTTTTCACTTTTATTTTACAATTAAGTTGACTTGGTGGTATGTTGTGGAATATTACTTTAGTTATGTAAGATGTGTTGCTGTTTTACCTTGCCTGCCTAAGGTACCTAACTGATCTAATAAAAAGCTGAATGGCCAATAGTCGTGCAGAAGAGGGATAGACAGGGCTGGCAGGCAGAGAATGAGTAGGTTGGAGAGAGAACGAGGGAGAAAGAGAGGAAGATGCCTAGGGCCAGCCAGCCAGCCACCAGTTAACCAAACATGGAATAGCAGGACACACAGAAGAAAGGTTAAAAGCCCTGAGGCAAAGTGTAGATGAAGAGAAACAGGTCAAATTAAGTTACAAGAGCTAGTGGGACAAGCATAAGATAAGCCGAGCATTCATAATTAATAATAAGTCTCCATGTCATGATTTGGGAGCTGGTTAGTAGCCTAAAAGAAAGCCTGCTACAGTGGTAGATAACTGTTTTACAATCAATGACAAACTAAATTCCACAAAAAAGGCAGTTAACCAAACACCATGGTTCACATGATGTTGTACCACCCACCTGGCTAGCCTGTAGTTGTGTAGACCAGGCTTCCTTTGATCTTACAAACAGCCCGCTCGCCTCTGCCTCCCAAGTGCTGGATTAAAGTGAGCACCACCAGTCTGGCTTGTTTTGTTTTGAGACAGACTCTTACTTTAAAATCCAGAATGACGAGTTCTAGTTCTTTCTGCCTCAGTCCCCTAAGTGCAGGGATTACAGATGTGTGCCACCCCAGTCAGCCTTCAAATTTCTTGATAGGTCTCTCCGTATTCATTTACTACCATTTCATGACAAAACACTTTCTAAAGCTGTTTTGTTTCACTTTAAGGAGAGAATTTGCTTTAGAGAAGTGCAATCTAGCCAGGCATGATGGTGCACACCTTCGATCCCAGCACTTGGGTGGCAGGGGCAGATAGATCGATCTCTGTGAGTTCAAGGCTGGCTGGTCCGCACAGACCCCTGTCTAAAGTCCGAATGAGGGACACTCCCTATAGATTTACACCAAGTACAATATATTCCTTGAATGACATATGGCCAAAGTCCCTATTTACAACAGTGAGAAGCACCAAATTCTTCCTAAATCCAGGTAAAATAAGCTTAAGCTGCTTGTGTTAGCAAAGGGCTTCCCTTCTCATTTTGCAATTCCTTAAGAAAGGTATAGCCGATGGTGCTTAACTCCAAACCACTGGAATGATGTGGAAACTCAAAACGAAGGAGACTAGACGGATATCTCAGGGATCAACTGCGCTTTGTCAAGCCTCTCAGCTTCCAACCCACACACTTGATAACTGCAATATTCCCTGCAGCTCCCCGAGTACCCTTTTGTATTTCTAACTTCGACAGCAAACACCTCAGAATCCTGGTTGGTAGATCTCCTGATCAGATTCTCTCATCATCTCAAATTATTCAGACTGAAAACATACCCCCACAGGCTTAGTACGAACATACGAAGCACATGGTTAGAAGACAGAGGGCACTGAAGTCCATTCTGAACAACAGATGGAATGAATCTGCAACTGATAAGGCAATCAGTTCACCTTTGGTATCAGAGCAAGTAAGCCGCCTGCTCTTAACTGTGTTCCAACCTCGCTTCAAAAACCTGTCCTTAGCTGGTGCCAGAATTCACAGTGTTCTTGAAAACCACTCACTCAGCAGCTCCCTAGGCTAGTCCAGACTGGCAATCATCTCGCGCTACTGCAGCTGCCCAGCAGTGCCAACTGCATCTAAACAGCTGTCCTCCCTGAGCTTAGGATCGCCTTGGGAGGAGAGGTGAAGCAGCGTCTGACCCGTACAGTCTGAGACGAGGCCCTCATTCGTCCTTCTGCCTATCCGATTTTAATTTCTACGTCAATGGGGGGGGAGGGGGCGACCAGGTCAATACCTGGAGGCACACAATCTCCTCGGCCCCACACTAATGACCACTGGGTGTATTTACTGAGGGAAAGGAGGACAGACAACAATGCGCACAAGTTCACCAGCGGAGCAGGCGGAGGCTGGGGCTATGTTAAGGAAGTCGTCATCGATGCCGCGACGCCTCCCCCACCCTGCAGCCGACCTCGGAGGTTCCACCCCGGCCTCCACAATGAGGACGACCTTCTTCCCGACGGCAGAACTAGGCCGTGCCTCAGCACCCCGCGAAGCGGAAGCAGCACAGGGGGAAAGGCGACCCCTGAGAACGTCCCTTCAGGGGGGGCCTATGTCGACTCCGGCTCAGATCGGGGAGGGGAGGGGGGAGGCAATCTGCAGAAGGCTGGGTATCGTCTCCACATTCGGCGGCTGCCGCGTCGGCCTCCCCGGATTCACAAACCCCAAGCCCGCCTCCCCCGTTATCCTACCACCCGGTTACCTCTTTGCTTCTTCGTCCTCTAGCAGTTCAGGCTCGGTCCCCGCCATTACCACATCGCACTCCGCGGTAGCCGCCATCTTACCGCCGGGACCAGAGAGCCGGGTGGGAGGCAGGCGGTGAAGAGCACTTCCGGCCGGAGCATCGAGCCGCTCAGCAGCGCCGCGCCCAGAGGGACTACCTCGAGCCCGTCTACCAACGAGAGGCTCCGCTTGGGGCCAGAGCGGCCTCCCATCCCGGGAGGTCCACGGTGGTCTCCGCCCTGGGGCGGGGGCCCAGGGACGGCTCCTGTGCGTAGGGGGCGCCACTTTACTCGCGGATAGGAGGCCGGTACAGAAGGGTGTTGCCTCTCTAGGCCTCGGCTTGCCTCAGTATCCCGACAGCCTGGTTGCCATAACAACTTGCAAACCTAGAGAGTCTCCTCCGGTGAAGCCGCCGAGCCCCGGGTGGGTAGGTGGGTGGGTGGAGGTGGGTCACCCGAGACGGCTGCGGTGAGGAAGGCCTGTACGGCTACCTGCCGACCCTGGAGTGTGTCCACCGCGTCCTCCCCGCAAAGGCATAAAGAGCCGCTTTGAGCCCAGTGCCCCAGCTTTCATCGGCGGCTGGAAGCCCTGCCCAGCCAAGCGAGGGGAACGCAGGGCGTCTTCACCCTGCGCCTTTCATCCTCCACGGGTCTCCAAGCGCCTGCTGGTTCATCATCCCAATGACGCGGACCCTTTTATGAGGCCGCTTTCATGTCAACCGCTTGGGAGTGCCATCTCAGCGTTAAGTCTAGAGAGGATGACATGGCGCCCCAGCCCCTGCCTTGGAGTTTATAAGGCAGCTCATGGGGTGAGGTCCCCTTTCCTTAGTGTCCCCTGTACTCCTGCGTCTCATAAACTCTACCCAGCACACTTTGTCTGGCCAAATGCGGCCTGGATTGGGAAGACAGGCTAATCATTTTTTTTGTAGAACCACTACTACACCCAACAGTATGTGTGGAGTTGAATTAAATTGGGGGGGGGGCTCTGAGGTTAAATGAGGCAGAGGAGATGACCTAGAGGTTGTGATTTTAAGACAAAAAGAATGAAAATAAGACAGTGGAATTTTAGGTGTCTATGCCCCTTAAGGAAAACTGTATGAAGGCCCCCTACCCTGTTTTGTAGATCCTTACTTATTCATTAGTGAGGGAATTGAAACCATAGGGTCCACTGGCTAGAAAATGAGAGCTGGAGCTCAGTGGATTGAGAGAGGTCATTCAGCCTTTACTTGCACTGTTGCTTGGGGGTGGGATGGCAAAAACCTCACCACCCACACTGCTTGCCAGTGGCTCACCTCACAGTACACAGTCTAATTCACAGACCAATTTTTTAAAAACTTTTTTCTAACAATCGTTTGTAGCTGAACTTATCTACTCTCCCAGCTTTAACTTCATCCCAACTTTCAATTCTTCCTGTTGCCTAGACATTTAAAAAAAAAAGTGTGTGTGTGTGTGTGTGTGTGTGTGTGTGTGCATGTATCTTTGTGAGTGCATACCAGGTATGTGCAGGTGTCTGCAGAGGCCAGAAGAGGGTTTCAGATTCCCTGGAACTGGAGTTAACAGGTAGTTGTGAGCAGCTCGACACAGATGCTATGAACAGTGTCTTCTGGAACAGCAGCTAGTGCTCTTAGCCACCAACCCTTTTCCCCAGCCCCTTCCTAGACTTTTTCAGACTTCTACACTTCCATAACCAATTACCTATTATCTCTTAGGCATTTCAAAAATCCCCAGAGATTAACCTATTTGTTAATTTTTTTTGAGACAAGGTTTCATGTAGCCCAGTCTTTCCTCAAGCTTGCTATGTAACCTTGAACTTCTGATTGTCCTGCCTCCACCTCCAGGATTGCCTGCATCTGATTCCATGTTTTTATTCTTTCCTGAATTTCTTATTTTAATAATTTATTTAACTTTATTTTATGTGCATTGGTGTCAGGTATCAGATCCCCTGGAACTGGAGTTACAGTTATGAGCTGCCATGTGGGTTCTGGGAATTGAACCCAAGTCCTCTGGAAGAGCAGTCAGTGCTCTTAACCCCTGAGCCATCTCTCCAGCTCTTTCCTGAATTTCTTGTGCTGTATGCTCATCTGTTCAGCTGGCTACCACATGAACCATGCGGCATGGAACATGCAGTCTTCAGTGTTGTTCTTGACTTGCAGTCTGTCGCCAACACTTCTTGATTCACCTGCTACACATCCAAAAACCTCTTTTATCTCCTAACTTTCCCTCAGTCTCATCTCTGTCAAGCCTGGGCTCTCTGACAGAATGACCTTCTTTGTAGAAGCAGACAGATCATGTCATTCCCCTGGTATAAATCTACCAATGGCTTTCTATTGCTGGGAGTTTGGTCTCTGACCCACCGCACGTCTTTGTTATTTGGCTACTCTTTATAGTTAATATTGAATGAACCCCTAGGGACTTGTGGCTCTAGAAATGTCATGGTTCTTGCTGTTTTTCCTCTGCTTTAGACATCTCTGTCCTCCTCAGTCCTTCAAACGTGAACGTAGTCATACCCTTCTCCTCCCTTTGGTGTCTGTTGCCCCCAAGGTAAATGCTGCTCCCATAGCACCCCACCTCAGTAACAGAATTCATCATGTTTTGTAGTAGTTGTTGGTTTAGATGTCTAATTCTTCTAGACAGTGAACATATGGGCAATCACCCTGTCTAACTTCCTTTGCATATGGCCCTACACAAGGCATGGACAAGACAAAGTTGGGCTTTTTTGAGGTTGTTGTTTTGAAACAGGGTCTCTGTGTAGACTATGTTGTCTTTGAACTCAAAATCACCCCACTTCATCCTCCAAGTGCTGAGATACAAATATGAGACCCACTCCAGTTAAAAAATGTTCAGGTTTAGCCAGGAATAGTGGTGCACACCTTAAGTCCCAGCACTTGAGAGGTAGAGGCAGGAAGGATCTCTGTGAGTTCGAGGCCAGCCTGGTCTATAGCTTGAGTTCTCGGACAGACAGGGCTACATAAAGAAACCTTGTTTAAAAAAAAAAAAAAATCTAGGCACACCTTTAATCCCCAGCACACGGGAGGCAGAGGCAGAAAGGATCTCTGTTAGTTCAAGACCAGCCTGGTCTATAGAGTGAGTTCCAGGACAGCCAGAACTGATTCACAGAGAAACCCTGCCTCGAAACAAAACAAAACAAAACAAAACAAAACAAAAGATGATAGAACTAACGAAGAACTATTGTGCTGTAGAGAGAGAACATTTCGGTATCAGAGCATCAGCTTGGTATCCACACACCGGCATGTCCCCGCCGGCCTCTGGGAGGCGCTGTGCGACCAGTGCTCGCCTTGCGCCGACGGAAGTTGTCTTGAAGGCCGGACGTTGGGGGGCGGGGCTCCAGGGCAAGTACTTCCACCCAGAGGAAGAGGGGCGTCCTTACAGTCCAACTGCCCCTCCCATGGTCCGGCCCACTCGGAGGGGCGCCTCAGCGGGAGTGCTGCGGGGACCCCGGAGGTATGGAGCCGGGAGGCGGGGCTCAGGTCGGCCTGGGTCCCCGGTCCACCTTGGTTGTCCTGTCCCTGCCTCTGACGGCCTCTGAGGGGTGCCCTTCAGGGGAAGTGGGCGGCGGCGGCGGCCTCTGGCGGCCTCTCGAGCCTCGCTCAGCCCGTGGGGTGGAGACCCGTGTCAAGAGATCTCCTGGAGAGGTTTTTGCTTGGGACCCCTTTGGGGCTGGATCTCTGCTTTCTGAGGGGGTGGGAGAGGAGATCACTGGAGCTCCCCAGGAGCCTGTGTTCGAGAGTTTCCTTTTAAGAGACCTCTCTCTGGAGTTTGTAAGTCTGAGCTTTCTCTCTGCCTGCCAGTCCCGGGCCGTCAAATCCCTTTCTGAAGCGCCTTTCCTGTGATTCTGTAACTCTTTGTTTGTTTGTTTGTCTGATTTTTTTGTTTGTTTTGTTTTGTTTTTCGAGACAGGGTTTCTCTGTAGCTTTGGAGCCTATCCTGGCACTCGCTTTGGAGACCAGGCTGGCCTCGAACTCACAGAGATCCGCCTGCCTCTGCCTCCCGAGTGCTGGGATTAAAGGTGTGTACCACCAACGACCGGCTGATTTTTTTTTTTTTAATCTAGTGGATTTATTCTTACCCAATTAGTCATTCCGGAAAGCAAGTTATTCTGTTTGTACACTCTCCTCGAGAAGCTGATTGGAGTCGAATCTTAATTTTTCTTGGGGGTCATGGTTAAAGAGAGAAGTCACATGGTGTGCACATGCCTGTATCCCAGCACTTGAGAGGTAGAGGCAAGAGAATCAGCTCAAAGCCAGCCTCAACTTTTTCATCAGCTGGAAGCCAGCTTGGGTGACATGAGATCCTGTCTGCAAAACAAACAAACGACAGAAAAGAGCAAGAGTGCTCATGGGACTTCCTTCAGTAATTGGTGCCCTTGCATCCTGTGCACTGGGAAGAACCTGGGCACCTGCTTTTTTTACCACTCTCTGGGCCTCTCCCTTTGTGGTACCATTGATCCTACACCTGCTGTGTGCCAAATCCTGGCCACTCCTGGGGGAAGTGGCTTAATTCTGGTACAGTTCACTGCTCAGCCATGCACGTGAGCACGCCAGAGTGGCTGCTCTGGGTCTGGATTCTGTCTTCCCTTCATCACACTGCTTCTGTTCTTCAGGGTTGAAGGCTAAGCATGGGGAAGAGCTGCAAGGTGGTCGTGTGTGGCCAGGCATCTGTGGGCAAAACTTCAATCCTTGAGCAGCTCCTGTACGGGAACCACGTTGTGGGTGAGTTGCTGGGGCCGGTGGGCAGGCAGAAGATGTTGAATAATGCAATGGGAGTTGATCGAATTATGAACACAGAAACTAAGAGGGGCACCAGCTGCTTTTACCCTCAAAATTGGGGCTGAGGGCACAGCTGACTGTTAGAGTACTGATCTAACATGGAGCAGGGCTTGGGTTTGAACCCCAGCAATGGAAAAAGAAAAGTAAAACATTGTACTCCCAAGTTCCACACCATTGAACACATCTAAAAGGGAGAAACCCAAAGCCAAGATGGGGGAAAACCCCACATAGCGCTTCTGTGCGTTTGTGAGTGTGCATTTCTGTGCATGCATGCCCATGTGTGTGCCCGTGTTCACAGACCAGAGGTGGATGTACAGTGTCCGCTTCTGTCACCTCCACACTTGGTGGTTGTTATTACTGTTAGCACATTTGAGATAGCCTCACCATATATACCAGGCTGGCCTAGAACTCATAAAGATAAACTTGCCTCTGTCCCCGCCCCTCCAAGAGCTTCGATTCAAGGTGTGTGGCACCACACCCAGTTTTGTGTTGCACTCTTGCTTAGTGTGATAATGACGTGACATTCATCCCCCCCCAAGTCATCCCTGTCCAACTCTCTCAAGCCTGGCCTCTGAGCCCCCACATTGCTTATGCTCCACGTCAAGTTAGCAAGTTAGGATGTCCACCTCTCTCACATTTCCCAGCTCCCTTCACTCTTAATCAAGTCTCATTGTAACCCAGGTTCTGAGATGATTGAGACCCAGGAAGACATCTATGTGGGCTCTATTGAGACAGACCGAGGGGTGCGGGAGCAGGTGCGTTTCTATGATACTCGGGGTCTCCGGGATGGGGCCGAGCTGCCCAGGCACTGCTTCTCCTGCACTGATGGCTACGTCCTGGTCTACAGCACAGACAGTCGAGAATCGTTTCAGCGAGTTGAGCTGCTCAAGAAGGAAATCGACAAGTCCAAGGACAAGAAGGAGGTACGTGTACTGCACTTCTGCTGGGAGCTCAGTGGTAGGAGAGCGTGGGTCCTTGGCAGGCTGTGGGGTGCTGGTGTGATTCCAGTTGTGCTCATTTGCCAAGAGGTTTATTTAGGAGCCTGAAGACCATGATGGTCATTGGGGAGAGTCTTCAGCCCACACAAGAGATGGCTGTATGATAGGACAATTCAAAGAGACTTTTCTTTGGTAATAGGGTCCCTTCTACAAATGGGCCTTGAGAGCTTGTTTGGAGGTTCTAGCAGAGAAACGCAGCTACTTATATACACTTAACGGAAGCCCAGTCCTCAGAAGGGGACACCCGCCTAGCCAGCCAGATCAGCTGAATCAACCCTGGCGATCAATGTGGTGACAGGTGTCACAGCCAGATCACCCTCACATCTGGATCCCTTCTAATACATGAGGCTTCCCCTAATCTTTCTTTGCTGTGGTTTCATGCTCATGCCAGTCCTCCAAAATTCTGTAAGCTGTTAGTCTCTGGGAACTGCATCTCTCTCAGTTGTTGGCCAGAAACAGCTGACAGCTACTCCTGATCCTAAACCACTGCTGTGTGTGTGTGTGAGTGTGTGTGTGTGTGTGTGTGTGTGTGTGTGTGTGAGAAAGTGAGTGTGTGTGTGAGAGTGAGTGTGTGTGTGTAGCCTCTAATCTTTCTTTTCTTTCTTTCTTTTTTTTTTTTTAAACAGGATCTCTTTGTATAACATCTCTAGCTGTCCTGGAACTCACCCTGTAGACCAGGCTGGCCTCAAACTCACAGAGATCCACCTGCCTCTACCTCCCAAGTGCTGGGATTAAAGGCATGTGCCACCCCCACCCAGTCAGCCTCTACTCTTATCTCTCTTCTCCAGGTCACCATCGTGGTCCTTGGCAACAAGTGTGACCTTCAGGAGCAACGTCGTGTAGACCCTGATGTGGCTCAGCACTGGGCCAAGTCAGAGAAGGTGAAACTGTGGGAAGTGTCGGTGGCTGACCGCCGCTCCCTCCTGGAGCCTTTCATTTATCTGGCCAGCAAGATGACCCAGCCCCAGAGCAAATCCGCCTTCCCCCTCAGTCGCAAGAACAAGGGCAGTGGTTCCTTGGATGGCTGAAGAGCTGCCCTTCTTTCTTCGCTATCCCAACCCCATTCCAGGATGGGTCGAGGGCACAGGGGTGCAAAAGCAAGCTGTTCTTCCAGTCAGTAAGGGAACAGCCTTCTAGGCCAGGAAGCTGGGCTGGCCCAGGCCAGTGCCACTTTTGTCCCCTCTTAACTCCAAGAAGTGCAAGTGAACTTGATTGCTGGCCCGCCCCTTGACCCTTCCATGGTAGTCCCCACCCCACCCCCAGCTTACATCACATTTTCTCCACTGTTACCTGGACACTTATGTCTACATAGTGTCTCTTCCATCTGCCTGGGGCAGGAAACAGGGCTGGCATGCCAAAGTGCCCAGTCCAGGGTCCGGCTCCTATCAGGGATTCCAACTCTCTCAATTTCCTGCCAATAACACAGCACCAGCCTGGGCTTGAGAAAGTGACCAGGTATTATGAGCGCACAGTTATATGTGCTGGTTTAGGGTTGGCTCCTCGTCCCTTACCCTGACCTTTCCCCTGGCTTGTTGAAGGCTGGGAAAAGCCAGGCTCCTGGGAGTGGCATTTTCTGTCTGATCTCCACCCATCTCCCAGCTGTTTGACTTTCTCTTCCTGCTCTGGGAGCAGAGGTCATTGGTTGAGGTAGAGTGGTCTGTCAGTTACCCTGTGATCTAGCAAGGCCAGTCTTCTCTGGGCGTCAGTTTTCTCATCTGTGAGGTGACAGGAGCTTGGATGATTACTTAGAGCCTTGGCAGCTCTGTGATTTTTTTAAAGCCAGTGGCTTGGGCCTCCTGTGTCTGCCCCTGCTTCACCCTCTTCAAGGTGCTACACCTACCAGCCCTGGAGGCTGGACAAGCCTCTCCTTTAACCACCAGGGGGCAGGAGTGCACTCTGTGCTCAGTGGCACAGGTGGCACAGCCTGTGGACTTGCCCATAGTGGGTGTCCAGCCCTCCTCGTTGTTTTTGGCTAGTAGCTGGACTTATATTTATATTCTCTCTCTGTATTTATATGCCTGACACCTTGGTGAAGGTGGGATAAGCCGCTCCTCTAGCCCCTCCTCCTTACCTCAGATGCCTGAACAGAACCAGGCAAAGCACTAGCAGCTTCCTAGGAGCTGACAGGCCTTGCAGCTGGGGCTTGTGCTATCAAGTGAGCGTATAACCCACAACTTCTGGTGCCCGCCTTGAGCTTCTGATGTGCACACCTTACCTGAGTTAGACACTACAGCCAGGCCACCTCCGATACCACCCCTTCTCCCCAGAACAGGCGAGAAGGGGCTGGTGCCCAGGGCTGGGCAAGGAGAGTCAGGACATCTACAGGCTCAGGCTCGAAGTTCATTTATTAATGTGTTGGACACAATAAAACCACAACTGCTGTTATCAAAAAGTTTCCCTCCCCCGCCCCTTTTCTTATCCCATTGGAAATATCTTTCAAAAAAAAAAAAAAGATACAAGTAGATACTGGCAAAATCCCATATTGAGTGGGGGAGTGACACTGGCTTTGGCAACATGAAAGTAGATTTAATGGCATATAGGGCTGTGTAACAGCCCTGGGCTCCACAGTTGGAGAGACTGTACCCTAGTCTAGAGTGGAGAGTCCTTAGGCTGAGGGAGACCCAGAGTCCCCCGTACCCCCTTAGAGGTGGGGTTCAAGCAGAAACCACTAAAAGGTTAAGAAGGACAGCTTTGATAATAAGACAGGTCACTTCCGTTAAAGCCAGGCCAGGGCCAGGCAGGGTGGTGCATGCCTTTAATCCCATCACTCAAGAAGCAGAGGCATGTAAATCTCTTGAGTTTGCCAGCCTGGTCTACATAATTCCAGAACCAGCCAGGGCTATACAATCAGGTCCAGCCTGAATACCACTAGCACCTTCTAGCTTCACCCCTACAAAGAAGATGGGACTTCCCCCAAAATCAACCTCACTTTCACAGTACTTCTTTGAATGACTTTGGGGGCTTCTTATTTCCATGGTTCTTTGCCATACCCCCTGGTTAACTTCTGTTTTTGTTTTGAGACAGTGTCTAGCTATATGGCCCAAACTGAACTCATGACCTAATGCCAGGATTATAGGCATGCACCACCACACCTGGCTACCCCATGGTAAACCTGGCTGATGGGTTTACCCACATCAGTGTGAGATCCCTAGCTCCAGTAGTTGTTCAGAGGGCCCTAGAACACAGCAGGGGAGGCTGACTTGTAGGAGCTAAGAAGTGGAGTCAGCACTGTCTAAGTCTGATTGGGGTGGGGGTATGAGAGCACCATGTGGCTGGGGCTGTGATTTTGCCTAGAGCTTTGGGATTCATGGAGCCATAGATGCCCGGCAGCTCAGGATTGGCCCAGCAAAGGAGGGTAGTTATGGTCCTCAGACGCAGGGGACTGGAAAAACCCCAGTCTGAGTGAAGAGCAGTTCCCCCTGGTTGTGTGGGAACCTGGAAACTGCAAAAGGTAGTCTCCGGGATGTGGAGACAAGTGCTTGCCAGGAAAAGACAGGATGTGGCTAGCCTGGGACCACTAATAGGGAGCAAAAAGGATGGGTCCCGCAGTAGGACGGACAGCTCCTGCTGGAGTACGGAACAGAGCTGGGCCCAGGACAGGAGCTGGGAAGAGGGTAGCAGCTGCTGTTGCAGCAGGCCGGAGGGCCAGGGGCCCGGGCAGGGCACAGATGGCAGCAGCTGTGGTGGGCAGAGGGCTGGGCAGGAAGCGGGCTGCCAGTGTCTTGGTGAGTTGCTTCTGCAAGGCCAATTTAGACTACAAAACAGAGAGAGAGAGATGGGCGGGGTCTCCGATACAAGAAGCCCACCCCCTCCCTGAGCCACATCCAGGAGCTTTTTTGCCTTAGGGACGTGACTCTTAGAGTTCCAAGTCTAACCACCTCCTTCCCACCCCCAAACAGCCATTCCAGAGGGCTTGTTGTGCCACCTGTCTTCCTGTCCAGCGGATGGGCACACTTAGGACAGGCAGAGCCAGGACACTGGGAGGGGTAGGTAGAGATGGTACCTAGAATAAGCTCACCCACCCCTGGCTTTTGCTCCTCAGATTATGGCCGTAGCCCACCCCACCCACCGGAAATTCCTCTGGGTATAGCCCAACCCCAACCCTAACCCTGTTCCTGCCCAGGCAGCTGCAGGACCAGCACCTTCCTGCCACACCCCAAGTCTTTTCGCTGGCCATTCCTCCTACTCTCTCCCTAGTAGACTGTTGCCTAGAGACAGGTACCTTGAGGACACTCACAGCCAGTGCTGCCTGTTTCTGCAGTTTGCTGTGCTGGCTGGAGGGCTTGGGGGGCTTCCCAGCCAGGCGGTCTTTGTGCCTCCGGCTGCTCATATGCTATCAGACAGACAGAATGGGAGTGAGATGAGGAAGACTACAGAAGCCAAAATTATTTTGTTGCCCAGACTGTCCTAGATTTCCTCTACCCACAGATCTCACATTCAGCATACATGATGGGTTCTCAGATGGGGCAGCCCTAGGCAGCCAGATTGCCCTGTCACACCCATCCATCAGTGGGCATCAACCTTTCCTCCCTTGCTCTGATGCCCACCCAATTCTGGCCCCTTCTCCTACCTGCTTGAGTTGGGTCTCTGAATTGACCTGGAGCTGGCAGAGAGCACAGTGGAAAGGAGGGCTAGGTCCCTGCCGGCCCCCACGATTTCCTGTCACTCTCTTTGTCTTGTGTCCAGCTCCTACCCGGGACACAGGGCGTCCCCGGCCCCTTCGGGGAGCCCCTTGTTGGCCTTCCACCATCCATCGGTGCTTAGCTCCTGGAAGGAAAGAAGACAGCCTGCCGGTATGGAAGGGAGGCCACAGCACCAAAGGCTGCCCTTTGCAAACCTTGCTGTGCACACACACATATCCCCCAGCCACGTGGGCTTCCCTTCCCGGCGTCTCTGGCTTCCCTTCCCGGCGTCTCTGGCTTGTCTATGGCTTCCTGTAGTCATCCCCCAAAGAAGGTCTTCTTACAGGCATCTGGGATAACGTCCCTTCCTTTTGTTTTGATCCAAGGGGAATGGAAGAGGATAACTCCTCCTTAGCAACCTTCAGTTCTGTTTGCTGAGACTTCTCTTCCCAATGCCCCCTCCCTTGGGATCAAGAGAAGGACCCAGAAATGCCTACATAGTAACAGTGGGCGGGGTTCCTCTGTCACCCAGCCCTGAATGACATGGATCCTCGGAAGCACTGACCTGTGTTGTGAGCCTGAAGCTGGGAGGCCGAGTTTACTGTCACTTTACATGTAGGGCAGTAGAGGCACCCCTTTTCGCTCCTGCCTTCCCCATTCACTCCACTTCCCACAGCCACTTCTCCTGGCTCAGGCCCTTGGGCTTCTGTGCCAAGATCCAGGGAGCAGGGTGGGCAGGAAGAGGAAGAAGAGGAAGAGGAAGCAGCAGCATCCAAGTGGTCTGAGTGGGCTAGCTCTCTGGCTGATGCGTCTGGGGTCGGTGATAGCTGAAGTGAAGGGCCAAGAGGAGGGGATGCAGGATCTGCAAGGAGATGGGACATACATACAGGGAGATTCCAGCCCTGAGGCTTGGCAGTGATGACGGAGATAGAACGGGAGGGTGAAGGCTTCCAGATGAAAGGAAAGCCAGCACTGAATTCTAGCCTCACCTTCCCACCAACTTTCTAGGCAAACTTGGGCCTCAGTTTCCCTATATAAAAAATCATAGAACTGGAAGGAGCAGAATAGCAGAAGTCGGGGGCTGGAGAGATGGCTCAGAGGTTAAGAACACTGCTCTTCCAGAGGTCCTGAGTTCAATTCCCAGCAACCAGATGGTGGCTCGCAGCCATCCCTTATGAGATCTGGTGCCCTCTTCTGGTGTGCAGATATACATGGAAGCAGAATGTTGTATACATAACAAATAAATAAAATATTAAAAAAAAAGAATAGCAAAAGTCACCAGAGAGATGTGCTAGAATGCTTATAAAATATTCATAATGGCATAAAACGAAATCACAGAGTCCATTACACAAGAGAATGGTGGTATTTCCATGCACTAGAGTAACACATCATTGAAAAAAAAAAAAACTACTACATGTGAACTCATACACATAATGAATATTGGCAAGTTTTTGTTGTTTGTTTTGTTTTTGTTTTTTTTGGTCAGGGTCTCATGTATTTTATTCTGGTCATGAACTCACTATGTAGCTGAGGATGCCCTTGAACTTCTAATTCTGCCTCCATCTCCTGAGTGCTGTGATCATAGGTTTGTACCACTATGACTGGTTTTGTGTTGGTGCTGGGATCAAACTCAGGATTTCCCATGTGGTATGTAAAATTCTACCCACTGATCCACACAGCCAGCCCCACATCCTTCATTTTCTGAGACAGGATCTTAGGGAACCTAGGCTAGCCTTGGATTCAATGTGTAGCCCAGGCAGACCCAGAACTCTTAATTCTCCTTCCTTGATCTATAAGGAGTGTGGAGGACAGTGGTGCCCACTAGCTGAGAAACGGGCTTCTCCCTCTGGCCCCAGGAAAAAAAAACCAAACATGTCCACATTTGATTGCAGCACACTGACCTCCGGATTGAGGGGAAAATACATTTCTACTGTTTCAGCCCCTACTTCATAGCCATTTGTCCTGCCAGGCTTAGGGAACTAACACAGGTAGTAGTTGGGAAGGATCCTAGCTCAGGCGAGGAGTGCTTGGAGGCAGCGTATTACCTGATCCAGACCGAGTCTGAGGAAAGTCAGTGAACAGTAGGAGTCTGTCCATACCTATATACAGAATAATTTCCCAGCAAGAAAGATAGCGAAAGGCTAGAGAGACGGCTCAGCAGATAAGAGTATTTACAGCTCTTGCAGCAGATGGAGTTCGACCCCTAGCACCCACACAAGGCCTCTCACAACCACTTGTACTCCAGTTCCAGGGGACCCTCTGCCCTCTTTTGTCCTCTGTGTTTCATGGGCATCCACACATACAGACACACATGCAGGCATGCACACAAACAGCACAACACAGCAGCAACAACAAAGACAACCCGAGTTTTACAAAAGAAAAAAAGATGGTGAGAGTCAGAGTCACTTAAGCCATGTCAGAAGCCAACCTTGATGCGGGGACTTGGGTTCAGGACTGACCTTTGCTCTGTGGGCTTCGGGGGCCTCCATTGGCTGGAGGTGAGGCTGAAGACGCCACTGTTCCATTTGGGGTCAGGTTTCGAGGCTTCTGCTTGCTCTTGGCAGCTTCTACAGCCTTGAGTTTTCTGGCATGTCTGTGGCCCTTGTAATGAGCTTCAGCCTGGTTCTGGGAAACGGAGGGGAGGTCACATGCCTCATCCGGGAGTGAGGTTGAGCAGAGGGACAAGCCAGAGGGATGCAGGGTTAAAGAGGCACAAGGCATGGGCACAAGAGGTGAAGTCGGTGTCACCATCATTACCACGTGCATCTGGTCCTGAGGTTTACAGTGTGTGTCCTCATAGGTGCTCCAGCACAGGCAGCCTCAGCCATTTATAAACTATGCTTCTTTAGGTAAGTCACAGCACCTCACTGAATTTCCTGTGTGTGTGTGTGTGTGTGTGTGTGTGTGTGTGTGTGTGTATGCTCTCCACTAGACTGCATCCCCAGCCCTGTTTGCTTTTACTGTGTATTCCCAGATCTAGAAGGGTTGAGCCCAGGGACATTCACCAAGTGATTCCCTTGGTGTGTGTCTGTATATACCGAATATTCTGGAAATGGACTACTTATCGTGTGGTCCAGGATGGCTTTAAACTCATGATCCTCCTACCTCAGCCTCCTAAGTGCTGGCATCACAGGTGTGCACCACTGTGCCCAGCTTTAAGCTTTGTGACTGTCCAGGTTAAATGGGATATGAATTGTAAGTCAGTTTACAAAGTAGAGGCTCCTGAATGTTAAGGGGTACACATATGGAAAGCAAAGCAGTACTCATATTTTGGGCTTATGTACTCCAAAAACATTCATCCTATTGTTCATTTTTTTTATTGAGCATTTGCAGTTGGCCCAGCCATTCTTCGAGGGCCTAGGGATGGAGACATGCTCCTTCCAATGATTTTCTTTACCTACTTTTTGTGGAATGAAATGTCACCTAAGCATCTGGAGAGAAGACTATAGCTGGACTATTGGCATCCTCCCTGCTTCACTAGGAGCCTCTACTTGTGGTTTCTCAACTCCTGTTTCCCAAAGGTGGGAAAGACAAGCCTCCACGGTCCTCCTCGATCTGTTTGAGTACAATCCACAGTGGTTTTAACATCTAACCCAAAAACCACAGTAAAGATCCTTCTCTCCCAGGGTAGGCTGCAGTAGGAGTATGCAGACCTCAGGGTCAGCCAAGACTGGGTTCAAATCCTAGCAATGCTATTTCCCAGCTGTGTCCTCAGGCAAGCTATTTATCCACTCTGAGATTGTGTCCTCCTCAGAAAAGTGGAGATGGTAATTGTGCCTCTGTACCTCTCACAGATGCATCATGGGAGTCCATTGAGTTGATGAAGTGCAGTCACGCACACCTTTAATCCAGCACTCGGGAGACAGAGGCAGGTGGATCTCTGTGAGCTTGAGCCATCCTGGTCTACAGAATGAGTTCCAGGATTGCTAGAGCTACATAGTAAGATTCTGCCTTGACAACAACATCAAAATTTACCGGAGCTGGGTGTGGTGGTCCACATCTTTCATACCAGCACTCGGGAGGCAGTGGCAGGTGGATCTCTGTGAGCTTGAGGCCAGCCTAGTTTCTGTAGCAAGTTCCATCCCCCCCCCAACAAAGACACTGGGGTGAATATATGCTGTAAACATCTCAGGTCAAGACCAGGAGCTCGCTCACTCTATGGCCTCTGGGACATCCAAAAGATAGGTGTGAAGCAGAGGGGAGGAAAATGGAACCCCAGCATGCTACATGTGAGTGGGAGGGATATGAGAAGGGGAGGGGCCAGCAGATGATGGGTGTCAGAGCACAGCTGAAAGAGGCCTAGCTCCCTCCCACCCACATTTCTGTGACTTCCCCCTCACCGCTGAGTTGAACCTCAGGTGACAGATGTTACAGGAGATGAACAGCTTCTTCTTCAGAGGGGAGGGGACCCCAAACGTGTGGCTGATGACAGCTTTCTGGACTGGGTCCATCTGTGAGAGGGAATGATAGGGTTTAGTTCCTCCTGCATACTCCGAAAAGGTACAGCTCCAAACATGCTCAGCCTCCCAGACCTCTCCTGTCCTGTGGCTGTAACCCCGACAAGGGCACAGCCTCTTCCTGGCAGACCCAACTTGTCAGGCCACAAGGGGATGGCCAGGGTGACCTGGCTCTTGCAGGATCACCTTAGTGTCTCTTGCTGCCCTTCTGGTCTTAGTTCTTGGTTATTGGCTTCTCTTTTTGACAGGGCGTAGTATTGGGACAAGGAGTTGAGCTCAGACTACAACAGGGAAGGGACAAAGATTCTTTTGGTGGGATTTCCTTTTTCCCAACCCAGGTTTTGTATCTGGACCTGCTGGTGGGGACAAGAAGCCCTACTGCATCAGCCCTACTGTCCAGAGTCTGATGTCTGCTAAGGAGAGTGAAAGCATGGTCAGGGAGTTGGGTGGCCAAGCAGGACAGCACTGGGAGGCCTTAGCGTTCCCCCCCACGGCAAGTAGCAGGATTGTCCCTTTAGAATGTGAACTTGAGTGTTTTCTTTTTTTCCTAGTTATAAGTTTCATACATTTTTTCTTTCTATTTTTTGAGGCTAGGTCTAATCTAGTTTAGGCTGGCCTTGGATGCTGTCTTCCTGCCTCTGCTTCCATGTGTTGGATTACAGGTATGTAACATCAGGCAATTGTCTTTGAGATAGTCTCAAGTAGTCTAGGCTGGTCTTGATCTCACTTTATAGCTGAGGATAACCTTAAATTGTCCCTCCTGCCTCTACCTCCTAAGCATTGGGATTAAAGGCAAGTGCTATCACATCTGATTTATGCAGTGCTGAGAATCAAACCCAGAGCATTGTGCAAATGAGGCAAGCACTCTGCCAACTGAACTGTAGTCCAAGCCTCTTCAACATTTTTTTCTATTGTCTTTTCTCAGGGGTCTAAGTTTTGGGATTTTTTGTTTGTTTGTTTGTTTTTAAACAGAGTCTCACTTCATAGCTCAGGCTGGCCTTTAACTCACTGTATAGCCCAGGTTGTTATTAATACACATTCCTTCTACCTTACTCTCCAGAACACAGGCATCACAGGCAGGACCACCATGGTGTGCTTTAGGGGCCTAGGCTGTTGGATTCAAACTAGAAGTTGTCTGGTTCAGTCAAAAGGAACTTAGCAAATTTTCCCATGGGAAGAAACCAGAGGCAGAGAGGAGAACATGCTATAGCAACTGCCCTGAGAACAGAGGTTCCAACCTGGCCAGTGTCCAGGGTAGAGCAGATCCGTATCAGGACCTTAGAGGGAGGTCTTGGCAGTGGGCCAACAGTGGTGTCACCTGCCTTTGAGCAATGAACACATCTGTAAATGACAGTAGGGGTTGAAGCCCATAGACCCATGCCCAAATATGTCATACTTCTCAGGACCTGTGTTCAACCCTGGAGGTGACAAAAGGGAGGGAGACTCCTACAGGTTACTGGGAGGGCATGCCACGTGGGTCTCTTGGGGATGGAGTGGAGTTCATCCTGATTTTATTTGATTTTCAGAACTAAAAGGGTGCTGTTCCTCACACCTCATGGAGTACTCCAACATTTTTCCTACACCACACACACACACACACACACACACACACACACTCCACACAACTGAGTGCATGCACATAAGACAGAAATACACAGACACAAGTTTAGAGGAAGTTACAGACTCACAAGGAGAAAGACACTTTCAGACACACAGATACTATACAACCACGGATGGACTCTCAGTCACCTGAAACTCATACATACCCAGCACCTAAGAGAAGGCACAAAGACATCCAAATCCCTTACATTCACATGCACACATATGACACACAATTGTCTAGGCATCCACACAAAAGTCTTCATAAACAATATACAAATTCACATCCACCCATAACACACAGACCTCCAGAGATACAAGTTCCAAGGCAAAGACATAATTCAAGGTCTGGAGTGATGATTCAACAGTTAAAAGCACTTGCTGGGCAATCATGAGGACTGGCATTCAGATCCCAGCACCCACACAACCAACCAGGTGCCCTAGCAAGTCTGTAGCCTCAGCTCCAATAGGGCTAGAGGCAGGAGGATTGCTGGTTCTTGCTGGTTCTCCAGCCTTACTGAGAAAACAGGAGCTTCAGGTTCAGGGAGGGATCATAGAGGGAGGGCATGCAATGATGTAATGACCTCTCAGGCTGTGGCACATGTACAGGTATGTATATCCACACATGTGAACATACATACATACAGTCACTCAAACACACAACTAAATAAAGAAATAATAAAATAATCTTTAACCCCCCAAATCAAAGACACAAGCCAAGTGCACACAGAGACACCTGGATCACACACACACACACACACACACACACACACACACACACACCCCCCTCTGGGGAGTTGTGATGGTGGGGTGGGAATGACATCACCTTCATCTCTAGCTAGGAGACAGCTGGGTTCTGGGTCCCTATTTGGTAGCACCTAGGGTCAGCTGAGTCACCTTCTTTGCCCACCCCCACACCGTCATGTGCCCCCGCCCTCCTGCCCAGCCCATACCGTGCTGAAGTTGGGGAAGAGACTGAGCGGGGTGGTGCCATTGAGGTGAAAGGCCAGCAAGTGCTTGAAGTCCAACGGGGTTTGCAGAGGCCGGGTGGGCAGGGTCAGGGAGGCCAGCAGGGGGCTGGGGGCGCTGGAGGCGGGGCCTGCTGCAGGAGGAAGAAGGGCAGGGTCTGAAATGAGGAGCCAGAAGGCTCTCTCTCCCACGGCTGCTGCCACAAGGAAAGGCTGTTGTACAGCCAGGACAGGAACTCCTGGCTCCCTCTTTGTAACTGCAGCTGAAGCAAGTTGAAGAAGCGAAGTCAAGGAGTCTCCAGCTCAAGTCTCCTAGACAGAAGAGTGAGCCTCTCTCACAGACACCCAGAGGGAGTTCAGCCAAGAGAGGGGTCAGAGTCAGGGTTAGCACACACATCCATGGTGACAGCATGATGTGCTTGCTGTGTTCCCACTTTATCCCTAAGTACCAAACTCAGGGAGTGTAGGGAAAGGCCAGCTCCCCTTCCTCTCACTAATTGTCCCTTCTCACTTCAGGTTCCATACCACTCACAGAAGGAATGAAAACAAGCCCCACAGCATGGGCCTAGAGAGATGGCACAGTGCTTAAGAGCACTGGTCATTCTTCTACAGGACCTAGCGAGGTTTGAGTCCCAGGACCCACATGGTAGCTCACAACTGTAACTTCAGTTCCAGTAGCCCCGATGCCTGCTTCTGACCTCTGCAGTCATCAGGCACACACATGGTGCCCATACATATATGCAGGCAAAGAATTCATCCATACATATAAAATAAATTGTTAAAACCCCACAAAATTAAAAAGAAAGAAACCTACAGCATTCTCAAAGTTTGGGTCTCTAGTTCTGGTGAGACCCCCCCCCCCAAACCAGTCCTCAGGACACCCAAGAACAACACTGTGGTTTTGCAGTCTTTGGTCTTAACCATGTAAAGCAAAGGCAGGAAAGGGCTGGGAACCAACAAACCAGATTTTAAGGAAGGGAAGAAAAAAAAAAAAAGCAGGTATCAATCTAGGTTATTGGAGACTTTCTTGGGTCCTGTAATTGCAAAACCAGAAGAAGTCCTTTTCAATACTTGGGTGTTAACCCTCTGAAACATAAGATGGGTTTATTTAGCATCTGTAGATGTATGTCTATAAACAGTCAAGTACAGAAAAGCCGGCAGGCAGCAGGTCGGAGGAGAAGAGAGGGAGGGAGGGCGCCATTGCCTCTCTGGAATCATTATGCACTTGACCTATTAGTTTGTGCGCAGATAGCACCGAGCTGTGGGTCAGAACAAGCATTGGCATCCAGTTTACAATCTCTTAAGAAAAGAGACGCTGTAAAGCATGGGACGAGGGAATTCTCGGGGACCCCTTCTTCTTCACCTGTTTCTCCAGTTCCTAAAGCCCAACCTTCTTTCCTCCAACCGAAACCCGAGGAGAGGGTCCAACAGAGAAAAAGCAAACTCTGAAAGGTCAGAAGGGACCGGAACTGTCCAGAACCTAGGTAGCACCACTACCAGTTGCGCAGGCTCCCCATTCCTCATAGACAGGTTTGGTGAAGAGCAGAGTACAACACAGTAGGTCAGCTTGAGTGTAGTATGGTTAAGAGTGTGTCTGGGGGTGGGGGTGGGGGCTGGCGCTGGCTGGGAGGTTAAGAGCACTGACTGCTGTTCCAGAGTTCCGGAGTTCAATTCCCAGCAACCACATGGTGGCTCACAACCATCCGTTATGAGATCTGGTGCTGCCTTCTGGTGTGCAGATATACATGGAAGCAGAACGTTGTATACATAAAAAAAAGAAAAAGAATGTGTCTGAGCGGGGCTGGAGAGATGGCTCAGTGGTTAAGAGCACTGACTGCCAGAGGACCTGAGTTCAATTTCCAGCACCCACATGGCACCTGGCACCCTCACACAGATCTGTAGGCAAAAAAAAAAAAAAAAAAAAAAAAAAAAAAAAAAAAAGTGTGTCTGAGCTCCCTTCAGTTTCCACTGCTGCCGGCTAAGGGGAGGCACCCCAGGAGTCCCTCCCCCATCTGCTTTCTAAGAACTCCACGGCCAGTGCAAAATCAAACTCATGCGGGGGGGCGGGGTGCCACCACCGCAGCTTGAGGCTGCAGCCCACCTTGTTCAGCAGCCCCGCGCGGGCAGCACCAAGGCTAGGGAGTCGAAGTCAGGAAATAGCTGGTGCAGCTCGGGAAGCGCACACGCCAGCTTGATGCAGGGCCAGCGGGCAAAGGCGCCCCACGGCGGCTGGCCACCATGCACTTGAAGAACTCGCCCAGTGCGCTGGTGCACCAGTGCCCGCCCCTCAGGGTAGGGGCAGGGATCGAAGATCATCGCCAATGCGGCCACTGCGTCCAGCGAGGGTTCAGGAAAGGACACCCCCAGCGTGCTCGTGCATAGAATCCAGGAAAGCTTCCTGGAGGCTCTCCAAGCCTTGCGGCGAAGCCTCTGGGTAGCCCAGCAGCTCCACACCGCGGTCGCCACCCCAGTTGGGGTCGGGCGGAGAGATCGCTAGCTCCAGCAGGAAGCTCTGGAGACGCGCTGAACTCCCAGCGAAGCTGCGAAGCTGCAGCTGCCATCACTACCGGCTGCAAGACCAGGTTCGGCTCCTTTGTACTGCAGGACCAGGGCAAGCTTCTGCACCGAAGGCAGAGAGGGTGTAGAGTAGCGGATGAAGGCTCCGAAGATAAACTGGAAACCGGAGCACCAAGGTGCTCACCAGGCAAGGCCAGGCCTCAGCCACTATTTCTACAACAGGCTACGCAAAGGACCAATAAACTGACCAATAAACCTGCCAAGTCAATAGCTGCAAGGAGCCCAGGGGTATGTGGGAACTGGGATCATGCAGACAGAATATGCATCTAATATGCTCTGATATTCACCCAGATGTCAGACCGTGAGCAGAGGGCAAGAGGCTCTGAGCTGCAGGCTAACATACCCCAGTACGTCACTGGGAAGGCTTGAACTGAGCCATGCCAGTTTGGGTACAGATATGCCAAAAACTTGTAGGCTATACAGGAACTGCCAGCGATAGCCTCGCCCTCCTGTAGCTCCACACTGCCTAAGTAAGTGGAAGCAGGCTGGCCATCACATGGGGACACCGAAGTGGCAAACAGGGACAGAGTACGGATTCTGCCCAAATCCTGGTCTCTTCTAATACCAGCCCCACATCTGGGAGTGCCTTCGGGTGCTGCAGGCCTCTGTGTGCAAGACACTGGCAATGGTACCTGGGACAGCCAGGGAGAAGAAAGGAAGGACAGAGTTAGGCTTGTCCTCCAGGCTGGGGGTAGTGGGTGGTGGCAGTAGGGGTGGGCAAGAGGGCAATGCAGGGTTGTTGGAAGAGCGCAGCTTGGGGCCAGACAGACTCTTGCCATTTATCAGCTGTGCTACCCCAGTCAAGGTACTTTACCTGTCTTCTCAGCTCCAGCTTTCTCAGCTCTAAAAGGCTACTGTGAGCTATACGTGTCAATCTTTGTTATTGCATTTATGAATGTAAAGTGATTTGCAAACCATAAAGAATGCTAAGATGGGTGGATTGTTGTTGCTTTGCTTTTCTGGTGTTCTTCTTTGCAGTCTTGCCCCACTCGGCCTTATTTCTGCAGGGGCGGGGCTCTCCCTTTAGCTGATGCTTAGGGGCTCACTAATAGGCATACTCACTAGCAATTCCTGGCCATCTCAAGGGTCCCAGCTACGTGCTGTTTGTCTCTGTAGAATGAATCCAACCCCCTACCCCAGGACTCACACAGCTGAACCTAGGCAGAGCTGTAGGATTCACAACTCTAGGGGCCACATGGGTGGTTTATAGCTTGAAGCGGGGTCAGGGTAAAAGTGGAAAATTTATGGAGAGTTCAGGATCTGCCCTGGCCGGGAAGCAGGAAGACTTTCTTTTCCAGCAGATATCACAAAGCCAGATCTTTACCATCTCCGGATTTTTTTTTTTTTTTAATGTATACAGGCTGGCCTCAAGTTCACTGTGTAGCTAAAGATAACCTTGAACTACTTTTTTGTTTATTTGTTTTGCTTTTGTTTTTGTGAGACAGGTTTTCTCTGTGTAGCTTTGGAGCCTGTCCTGGAACTAGCTCTTGTAGACCAGGCTGGTCTCGAACTCACAAAGATCTGCCTGCCTCTGCCTCCCAAGTGCTGGAATTAAAGGCATGTACCACCGCAACCCAGCACCTAGCTAAATTTTTAAAATTGAAAATAAATTGAGGGTTTCAAAAGTGCAGTGAAAACTCATCAAACCCAACAATAAGTCAATCAGGGCCCCAGATTGATGGGGGAAGTCCTTCTGTATATATGTTTGCCATGTGATACTGGGGAAGAGAGGATGCATGCCGCTGGCATCCTCGATAAGTCTTTATAGGGCTGGAGAGATGGCTCAGTGGTTAAGAGCACTGACTGTTCTTCCAGAGGTCCTGAGTTCAATTCCCAGCAACCACATGGTGGCTTACAACCACCTTGAGTGAGATCTGGTGCCCTCTGCTTGGGTGCAGGCCAACGACTGTATACATAATAAATAAAATCTTTTTAAAAAAAGATAAGTCTTTATAAAATATATAGATTAATGGTTATGGTTGATACTTAAGACAGAGCTAGCAAATAAGAAATCTTAGTCATTGGCCAGCAGCATTGTAACCTGGCGGCGGAACTCAGGTGGCTGGCGGAAAGAGTTATCATTACATCAGATCATCGATTTACAACCTCTGGCTCAGGGAGTGAGAAGTGTGACTATGTTCACCCAGTGACAGGGCCCAGGTCTGGCTTCTTCACTGTTGTACTCAATGTGACTGACCCAGTGCCAGGCATGTAGGCAGCCCTTGGTGAAGATTTGACTTAGTAGAGGTTTGAATGAAGTACATTGGTTCCTATCCAGGGCCCTGGCATACTGGAGCTCTTCCCAGATGGCTCAGTGCCTCCCTTCCTCCACCTTAGTCCTCCCCTTACCTCTGGCAGCCACCCACCTGCATGCCCCTCACCCTCCTGGGGCTGTAGTATTCGCCATGCTCTGTGCCCAGCAGTGCCTGACACAGGTTGGACCTCTGCAGCTCAAACAGGGCAGAACATGGGTTATCAAACACATCCTCTTTGGCCATTTGGTACAGTGGTCAGCACAGCACAGGTCTGCCTCCACCTTGATGGCCCTGGAGGTGGG